ATGGAAAGAGAGGTGTGGGAAGAAGAGAAAGCAGAGAGGAGGCATAGAAGCAGTGGGAGAAAAGGCTTGAAGGGTGAGGTAGGGTCAGAGAGCTGGGAGAATCTTGAACCTCAAACCAAGGAATCAAAGATTTGGAAGTTTACTTGTTGTCTGTTATTAACACAGAGCTGTGGTATGACAGAAACTGTGCCCCAAGTTTATTCTGTATATACCTGAATGAGACTAGCAGCAACGAGGTGAGTCAGGAGGCTGCACAGACAGGAGACAGGTAATGAGGGCACACAAGACGGTAAGGTAAGAGAGAGTGGAAAGGAGGCTTCCCACAATGGCTTACACCTGTAATCCCAGCCCTTTGGATCACTAGAGCCCGAGAGTTTGAGACCAGCCTGGGTAACATAGGGAGATCCCATCTCTACAAAAAATTTCATGAATAAAAAATCTGCCAGGTATACTGGCCCGCCCCTACAGTTCCAGCTACTCGGGAGGCTGAGGTGGGAAGATCACCTGAACCCAGGTAGAAGAGGCAGTGAGAGAGTGTGGAGACAGGATAAAGAACTGATAGGAAGCTGAGAGGAACTGTCCAGGGGAGGGAAGTATAACGGATGGTATGCAGAATTAAACCAAGATGACAAGGATGTCAGAACAAGAGAGAAAAGAGTATAATAATAGCAGCTGGAGGGCACAGTGGCTCACACCTGTAATCCCAGCACTTGGGAGGCTGAGGTGGGCAGACGGTTTGAGCCCAGGAGTTTGTATACCAGCCTGGGCAACATGGCAAAACACTGCCTCTACTAAAAAATACAAAAAAAAACCACACACCAAAAAAAAACCCAAAAAAATTAGCCAGGCAGTTTTTTTTGTTGTTGTTGTTTTTTAGAGGCAGGGTCTCACTTTGTCACCCAGGCTGGAATGCAGTGGTGAGATCATAGCTCACTCTAACCTCAAACTTCTGGGATCAAGTGATTCACCTGCCTCAGCCTTCCAAGTAGTGGGAGTACAGGTGTGTGCCACCATGCCTAGCTAATTTGTTTTTTGTAGAGACAGGGTCTCAATATGTTGCCTAGGCATACCATTATTTTAAATTCTTCTCTAAAAATTCTATGCTTCTCCCAAAGCCCTGGGATTACAGGTGTGAACCACCACACCTGGCTCAGAGTTGTCCTTGTCTATTTCTACTAGAGGGTGTACTATAGAGGTCACAATCATTGGTTCGTGCCACCATGCCCAGTTAAGTTTTGTATTTTTTTGTATAGGCAGAGTTTCACCATATATATATAACATATAGGCTAAAATGTTTTACATAAAAGATAATCAGTAAAACTTCATGATTTAGAAACAAATTAGTGTCTTTTTTAGTGTCAAAGTTCCAGCTACTCAGGGGACTAAGGTGGGAGAATTGCCTGAACTCAGGATGAGCAGAGATCAGACCACTGCACTCCAGCCTGGGTGCTAGAGTGCAAGACTGCTTCACTAAATAGACAGATAGAGAGTAGCGAATGCTTACCGAGTGCCTACTATGTACCCAGTACTATTCTACTGACCTAATATGGGACTAACTCATTAATCTTAAAAACTCCCTTAATGAACTAGGTACTATTATCACCCAACTTTAGAGAGGAGGAAATTGAGCCATGAGATTAAATAATTTGCCAAGATTACATAGCAAGTAAATGGCAGAAGTCTCTACCACATACTGCTAACTATTTGACATTGGCAAGAAACGTCTGAGCTTTAGTATCCCTATTTGTAAAATAAGAATAAAGACGTGTTATAAAGTGATGAGGATTAATTCAATAACACCTATAAGGTGCCCAACACACTGGCTAGCATGTAAGGCACAGGTGGGTGCTTCCTGCAGACCAATTCCTATTTGGCATTTTGGTCCATTGTCACCAAGGTGTCCAAGCAGAATCTGGCTCACCAATTGTTTGGGAAGCTAGAGAGGTATTCCGCCTGTAGCAGGAGACTGGATTCTCTGTCTGTCTGCCTTCTTCCCATCAGTCTGCCTCTCTAGATTTGACTTTAGGGTCTAGCTCAAATATTTAATGTATTTGATTTAATATTCCCAACTCCTCAAATATTTAATAGTTAACAAGGGTTATCTTGTGGGGAGAGTTACAGTGTGGGGAACATTCACTTGGGGACTTTCTATGCTGTATGTTTGCATTTATTTTTAATAATCCTGTATTACACTGGTGATCAGAAAAATGTATCTACATCCTACTCTTAGCACTTATGTGTATTTGTATGAAAGTCTTGTCTTCATATCTAGAATGGAAATTCCTCAAGGGCATAACCAGCTCCACCTCTCTCTCTCTGTGATCCCCCATAGCACCTAGCACACTACGGCTCCTTAAATCTGCTGCTTCAAGCTACTCTGGATGTGAGGTTTACAAATTCAACTTTCTGGCCACCAGAGAATGACTGTGGTAGGGTGGGTGGTTGGGATGAGGTGGGAGTGGGGGTCAGACCAAGGCCCTTGGCTGTAGACTCTCCATCACCCCGCTGCTTCTTTCAGGTCCTGTAGCCTATTCTAGCCAGAGTATCATATGTAGTTTACAGTTAGCAATCACTATTAGTAGAAAGAAAAGTTCTTATCCAAAGGAGCACCATGAAAGCAAAGGCAAAGCAAATATCAAAACTTTTACAGAAAAGCAAAGTGACATACATAGTTGTTTGTTTGTTTCTTGAGACAATCTCACTCTGTCACCCAGGCTTGGGTGCAAGTGACATGATCACGGCTCACTGCAGCCTTGGCCTCCTGGGCTCAAACAATCCTCCTGCCTCAGCCTTCCGAGTAGCTGGGACTACAGGTGTGTTCCACCATGCCTAAGTTTTGTTAAGCTTTGTATTTTTTTGTGCAAGCAGAGTTTTACTATGTTACCCAGGCTGGTCTCAAACTCCTGGGCTCAAGTAATCTGCCTGCTTCAGCCTCCCAAAGTGCTAAAATTACAAGTATGAGCTACCACAGGCCTGGTCAAACATAACTTAAAGATTGGCATTATCAACACTCCAGAGTTGTATGAGGTGAAAATAGGAGGCAGGCCTGCTAAAAATGCCCTGGCACATATGGCAGTTGGTCAGCCCTGAAGTTTCCTAGCCCAGATAGAATTGATACCGTCTCAAAAGCGTACAAGCTGTCTCCCCAGCCTGGCCCCTTGCTCTAAACTCAAGGCAACAGCTTCCAGCTGTGCAGCCTCGGAGGGGCTGAACCCTCCCCTGGAACCTCTCTGCAAAGCTGCCAAGTTTCTGGGCCAGCTCTTCAGGACAGCCCAAGGAGCCTGGCCAGTTTCTCCAGCCTTTCCCTCCTCTTCCTCCCTCCTGTGGCAGCAGCAGAATTTCCACAGCCCCTCTCACAGCCTAGATAGGTAGCAGGTGGCCACATGGATCCTGCCTGATTCTGCAAGCCCCCACTTACTGTCCCCAGAAGTGTGGGAAAGGAGTGGTAAAACCATTC